GGGTGTGGTCGCCAGCCTTGGGCGGGAAGGACGATTGAGCGATCTTATCTTTCTGCTCAATGAGCCACTCCTTGCGCTTCTGGGTCATGAATCGGTGGAGAGCCTGTCCGTAGAGCTCTCCGTCAGCGGTGAGATCGGAGTCTCCGCCAAGTTTTCCACTGCGGTTATCGACACTCTGTCCATGGCGGGTCAACCATATCTGCCGCGGCGCAAGGTTGAATGTCGTCAGGTAGGAACTGATGCCACCGCTCAGGAAGCCCCGCAATCTATACTGGACCAGCTTGCGGCCGACATCAATCATCTTTGATGACGTGTTAGTGACTTGCCATTCGCTGCGCTAGGGCTATAACATACCTGAATATACTGCATGTCGTGCGCCTCCTCGTACTCTCCGAGGGGGACGTAAGCGCTCTCGTACGCGGCGACGCGTCTCTTGAAATCAGCAAGAGACTGGTGAGGATCCTTGTCCTTGTAGTCGGGGCCGGAAAGCTTCAGACGCATGTTGGCCTCGAGAAGCTGCAAACAAATTAGAAGAAATTCTCGGAGGCAAGCGCGGTAAGATCACTTACGTTCTGGTCGTGGCAGATACTCTCGATGAAGAGAATTCCGAGCTTAGGCTCGCGCGCCTTGATTCGGTCGACCAGAAGCTGGCGGCGGTGGATAGTGCTGTTTGTCGCGTCGAGAATGCCAACGGAACCACCCTCGTGCAGGAGATAGTCCAGAAGCTCGTCCAGGGTGTCCAGGGCCACCTGCTCTCGGAGCTTGGCCGCAGTCTCGTTGGTCGGGTCGAAGAACTTGGCGGACTGGTCAATGCCGTCGCTCTCCTCGTTGAGGTTCAGCTCCGCTGGCTCCTTATTGCCACGAGACGCATGACCATTAAGCAAGATCGAAGCAGCCTGGGCCGGCGGGTCAAGTCTAACGGCAGCGGGCGAGTAGGCAGGCTTCATGGGGGAGCTCATGCCTGCAGCCACGCGTCTGCGATTTCCGACATTGAAGATTGTCGAGCTGTACTGCTGCCACGACAGGTAGCGCTGGACCTTCTTGGTGATGTACGACTTTCCGCGCGCGGGAAGTCCGACCATGACAATGACAAGCTTCGCGGCGACATCGCGGTCACTAATCTTGCCGTCGGGCGAGGCTCTCGAGACAGTCATGCCGGGCACATTAAGTGTGGCGGGGTGCGGGCGAAGGCGCGGAGTCGTTCCTCCAGAATTCTGTCTGGCAGGCGGGCTGTTGGTTTATTCGATTAGCCAAGCTCTAGAATACGAGGGTTGTAACCTCAGCCACCAAAGAGGGAAGGAGTAATCGCCCGAGGTGGCACCAGTCTGTAATTTTTGGAAATTTGTGTAGATACGTACATTCTAGGGGAATTCGGAGCGGTCGAAACCACGCTTCGCATCGCAGGAGGGGTATCGGAGTTTGCGACCAAGGAGTGATCGCGGAGGGCAATCGGGCCACTCAAGTCGTTCATAGATCGAACGGCATGCGCCATAGCAGGAGGCGGGAGCAGGCCATCGTGAGGGTGAGGGTGAGAAACGGGCAGTGCCTGGGGCTCGGTGAGGTAGTTCGAGTTCGAGTTCGCTGCGGCGGTCGATTTGTTGGAGTGGGAGGAAGGCGATGACGAAGGGGCGTGTGAATCCTTGTTGGAGCTCATGGCCAACTTCGCCAGGGCAGATTGCTTGGCCTGTATAAGACCAAGGTCTTTTTTGTATGGAAAAGGGTATGTTAATACTCAAAAGCTTGTTCAAGAATGAATATGTCGATAGTGACGGAGGTAGACAAGAATGATGTAGTGTGAAGAGTTGAGGCTGGCGCGCACAGAGGTAGAAGGGGAGAAAAGAAAAAAAAAGAATAGCTTGGGTGGTGGTGGACTGGAGTGGTTTGGTTTGTACGGACCTGGGTGGTGATCAGGAAAGATTGCGGAAGGCATGGATGCGAATATGCGAGGCAGGCGGCAGGCGTGGGAAAAAAAGAGACTACGTCGACGACCCTTTGTAAAAGGAGTCACACAGGGTGTGCACCTGGGCGTGGTAACTGTGGTTGGCTGGGCCTGCCGTTTAGAGCAGTCGCCGCTTGGTTGCTTTAGCTGGGTGCACCTGCTTCCTGGTGCTTTCCTGGGCTCCTGCCGTGAGAATTCTCTCCTTGGGGTCAGTTCAAAGGCCCTGTACCCAATCGCTGCGCTAGGATGGGGAAGCTGGTCGAGCTGTCCCAGGATGGGTGATGAAATGTGGCGTCCAAGATGGCTAGCTCTTGCCTTAGCGTGCAGGGGTCTTGCCGGGTTCGCAGCAGGCGTGGTCTGGGCGGAATTTGAGAGAAAAAAGTGTTGAGAGGGGAACAAGACAAGGAACACAGCTCGTGTAAGTGTACAGCGGTCTTGTTCCGGTGCGGAGGAGGAGGAGGACAACGATGAGATCTACTCTATACAAAAGACAGAGCACTGTAGTCGACTAACTGTAGATCGATGGTACAGATAGACTACGATGGGTGATAATGCCAAATTCTTGTGAAAATTGTATGGCAGTGATGGATGGCGAGAGTTGCAGTGCAAGCAAAAGCAAACAAACACAAAGCAACTGGCTGGATAGATGAAAAAGGTATCAATAAAAAAGGGCTGTGGGACAACAAGAACAGAAAAGAAAGAAGATTCTAATGTGTTCGGGATGGACGGGTCTGTCAGGTTAAAGAGGATAGAAAGAAGAGGGGAGGGTCAGAGCGATGGAGCCCGTCGATGGAGGAAGGACCGATATATCTACTTTGGTGGTACGGTCGAGGCAATAGGCGATGGGTAATGGGATGGTGGCCCTGGATGAGTGATGGGCAGCACAGAGCAAGACACCTCAGGATGGGACGGTATGGGATGGATGGATGGGGTGAGGTGAGCACTGAGAATGGATCTGGCCTGGATGAGGGTGAGCCTGTGAGGGCGAGGGTTCGATGAACGGGGGGACAAGGGACGGGACAGGGTGAGGGTGAGCAAGGAGAAGGCCCGTCCGAGGACTCCTCAGGCTCCTCACTGCCTTATTTTGCATAGAGCCCTGCCCTGCCCTGCCTTCCTCTGCCTGTCATGTTCTACTAAGGTATGGACCGTAAGGTATGGTACGGATACTCCTGCTCTGCATGGCTGGCCTTGAAGACGAGGTGTGTCTGAAGATGGAGTACCTTTTTCTGACTGGAGAGAGAGAGAGTGAGGCGTGAGGCGTGTAAGAAGAGACTCGACATCCAAGGTTAGAAAGAATCCTCTTGGCGCGGTACAATAGTACATTCTTGGCTGTGTTTGTACTCTGCAATCTGTGAACAGGAAACGAATGCTGGGCAGGTACAGATAGTCGCAGATTCCCGTATTTACAGATACGTACTCGATAATGGACAGAATCAGCGCATTAGTCCAGAACCGTTGTGTTGTGTGCAGGAACCACTCGCAATTGTCCCATTTCTCTCCTGTCGCATTCCGCCGCCCCCAATGACTCCAACACACAGTCACACACACATTTGCCCGTGGACCGTAATCCAGCAGTACCACCACGTTCGAAATTCGGGGCTTGCCCTGCAGCTGTGTTCTGCTTCTGGAGAGGTTCCCTTCGGTGGAGCCTCTAATTGGGTCGGTGCTGCATGCTCGGTGACCGGTCGCCGATGTGCCCTTTCCAGCGATCCAGGGTGCATGTTCGTTTTGGCAAGGTACCCTCGTCTGCGACCCTGTCGAGCCTCTCCTGGCACCGGAGCCCTGGGATGCTAGACCCGTGGCGGCACGGGATGGTGCCTTTTTCTTTCTTCTCTAATATTTGGGGGAGGGTTTTAATTTTTTTTCCCCGTCCATCACAAGGGAATTGGAGATTTGATTTCGGGGTTTGGGGAAGTAGAGAGAGAGCGGGCGGCGGCGCGTATCCATGCGATTGCCAACGGGCTTTCCAGCCTTTCATTCGCACCCAGCGGCGGGTCGCATCTTTCAAACGGAGCAGTCTAAGCGCTTTACGTGCCCTCTCTTGTCTGTTGTGTTCTGTCTCTGTCTCTTCGATCTCTATACCTGCCGGCCAGCCAGCCCAACGGTTTGGTACACGCAACGAGACGGAAAACGGGGGAGGGCCCAAACCGACGTGGACGTGCCGTATGGCCCTGCGTCTGTGCCCGAGCGAACGGGACGTGCGAAGCAAAAAGAGTGGTTGAGAACTTTGAGAGCGAACGGAAAGAACTGATTTCAAAAGTGGACTCGCTCTTTCCAAAGGTGAGGTGACATGACGGTCCAAGGCAGCCGCGCGCGCCCTACTTTACCTATCCTATCGTACCTTCCGTTTGGCAGGGCTCACGAACGAGATTGACAGCATTCCATTTCCCACCTTTCCTGAGGTCATTTCACGTGTTTCTCCTTCTTTCCCTCTTAGTAACCCAGTCCCCATCTAAAGGATGGAAGCAACCGCCTGGGCAATATGTCGGTCTCTTTACGGGTACTTTGCCCATCCAACGCATGATTTCTATTGTTTTTTTTTTTTTGGATGGGGAAAGTACAATACGGCCGAGCTCAAGGGCCCCGGGCGACTCGAGAGTTGTTAGAGAACCTCAGGGACAAAAAGGCTGGGCATCATTTCCAGATGGCCCCCTACACCTATTTCTGGCCTGAGGTAAACGGTTCGAGTTTCCAGGTGCCAGCCTGCCAGGTGCCCGCTTACGTTGTCAATAGTGCAACACCAACAAAGCTCATTTTTTCTGCCTTTCTATTGCTGGACGTACGTGTCCACGGTCTGTTTTACCTTACTCTGGACTCGGGAGCTGGCTGCCCGGGTACGCTACCTATTGGTGTCTCGGTCCAATACCAGAAGCCCATCCGCCCACGCCCTCTGTCCTGTCCCATGTCCATGTCCCACGTCAATCTTTCCGTCCATTAAGTTGGAAAGCCATTCAAGCCTATCAAAAGCTACGAGTTTAAGCTCAACCTGGACCTGGACAGGAGTCCTGACAATCGCCGTCTGGCCATGGACCACGTATAGATCCAGGACTTTCAGCGGGTGAGAGAGAGAGAGAGCCACATATGTCTCTGTGCACCAGCACAGCCCGTTACAGCTACAAAAAAAAAACCTCAACAAACAATACCCTCCGTCCCGTCGTCCAAAATTAAATCCCCAAACACCGTCATGACGGCCGGCCCCATCCTTTGCGTCTCCCCGTATGCCTGGGTCCTGTCCTCCGTGTCGCCGTGCTCCATGCTCCATGCTCGTCTGGTCCGCCCGGTCTGTGTGCGTGCACCCGTGTTGCCCGTGAGTACCATACCTTACCTCCGTGGGTGCTATTATTCCTGCTGACATGGTAAGTTGAGGAGAAAGTGCCCGTCATACGGACACTGCAACTCGGACGGCCAAGCACAACACACACGTCTGTCACTGCTGCTCAGCTTTCTCACCGTCTGCTCATCGCTGAGTGCTGAGGTGTGGCCTGGCTTCCATTGCTCACCGGGCTTGTCGGAGATACCCCGTCGATCCGTTCTACCGTTTCCACCTCCCTTCCCACCCAAATGTTTCACGACTCAGATGTCCAAAAGTCATCGGCCGCCAAGTCCCCTCCTGAATCAACTTGTGTCGGCACCATGGCTATTCTACAACCATCCCATCTTTCTCAAGCATTCCAGCTCTCAGCCAAGCCAACCGGAATAGACCACTCACATCAGCCCTCGCCAACACGCCTTCGAGATTTGCTCAAGGCTTATCCTTGCGGTTCAATCGCCCTGTTCCATTTCTAGGTAGCCACGTAGCCTTGCACTTGGTAGCCCCTTTTCAAGGTTACCTTTCTCTATCGTTTCTCTCTGAATGAGTTACTATCCAGTAGTGGGTGTAGCAACAGGTGGTCCCCCGATGTGCTGCAACAAGTCTCCGGCGGCGCTCAACAAGGCGTCTCCGAGAAGGGTGCACAGCATGATTTGACACACACCATCTCCAGGGTCGCGTGCCGGTGATAGTCATTACATATTCTGTTGGCGTTGCAACAACTCACCTAGCGCTTGGGCTGACCTTCTGTCGGAATCACCCCGAAGTCCGGAGGCTGGAAAAGGCACCTCCACGCCCCGGAGATCCGCTCCCACCAAGGATCCGCTGCGCTCCTGGCGAACCTGGTGAACCCCTCACGGAACCCCTACCAGTTTGTTCGACGTGTTGTGGGGATGCCAGGGCTGCTTTTGAGTCTTGACAGCAAGCATTCTGTCACTGCTAAACACCAGCAAGCCTGATCTTCCTAGACATTTCTGCAAAGAAAGATGGCTCATTATGTTCATCTTCTCTCAGGTCTGGGCGGTGATGTCACCCAAATGCCTTTCTCGCGCATTGTGATCTCGCCCCTGTGTGACGAAAAAGCCCATGGTGAGCCCGATAGTGTACATACACAGCACAGCCTGCAGAACGGCGGGACAGTGATCCGTATGTCCCGCCAAAGTATGAGGACGCCATGTCATCGTTCAGGGCGAGTGAGGCTTGCACCCAACGCCCAGTCATCCCGTCATGTCAATGGCAACTGGTAACTCAACCACAGCGGCCAATCATCTTCAACGATCCAGTTGTGAGGTTGCTTTCATGCTTCGAGCCAGAAACAGGGACTCGGCATGAATGACGAAGGAGGAATTTGGCGAGGAACCCCCACTCCAAGACTCTTTTGCAGAAGGTTCTCCTGTTACACTGCAGGATGCGGACTGCAGCAAAGACAGATGTGACTTCTCAGCTCCCGAATCTCAAGTGTGGAGGGGAGTAGGCTTCGCAATTCCAGATGCTCCAGACGCCGGCGGCGCGGCCCTCATTCGCACTCCTCATTTCTGATATTGCCGCCGCGCCGCCACTTCGTGGTCTCCACCGGGTGTCGAAGTTTAGGCGTAATTAGTCTCTGGTAGTCTATTCCGCTTCTGCTGCTGACCCCGCATGCATCGTGAGGGGTTCGCGGCAGGGTTTGCCGTTCGCTTTCTAGAAGCCCACTGTTATGGCCACCACCACGACAATCAAGGGACCAACGCAACGAACAGAGCCAGTCTTGCCAAGATGTTAAGGAACGCTTGCTGGATCTGCGATGGTGAAAGCGTCATCTGGGGCTTAGTGCAGAGAGGAGATACGGCCGACACGCGTTGTAACTGGGAGCTTGCAAGAGCGTTTAGCGATGGGTATGACTTGCAGTCGTGGCCGGCGGGGGGCCGGCCAGTAGGGCGTGCCGTCATCGGAGATTGAGAAATAGGCGATGGAGCCTTTGCACGTGGGGTTGAGTTACCGTTGGACGATTGCATTTCTAATTCAGATCCGGCACCTTTGAGAGTGAACAGCCTGGCTTGTGAGACTTGTTCCGCCACGCACCAATGGTTGATAACCAATGAGATGATCCATGATGGAGGCACGTTGACACGGAGGATGAGGCCCGAAGAGTCGACTTGTCTGCCGTCCTTGGCTTGCGTGCTTGCTTAGGCGTTGTGAGACAGTGCACTGCGCAGAGAGCCAACCAAACCCACAGAATTAGAAGCTTATCTCTGTTGAAAGAGCTCAACCGTGGCACGGAATGTGTGGACTTACCTCCAAGAGACCATCATCTAATTGAGGTGAGGGCCCGACCGGTGAGTATTTTTGGTGAGGTGAGGTAAGGTGAGGTTTTGTCTTGCTTCGCGTTGTTCATCTTGATGGGTCTGTAAGAGACATTCGGTTAGTTTCAGTGGCGGAAGGGCTACTCCCTAGTCGCCTCTCACGTTCCATGTTTTCTCCAGTCGTCTCCAGCTCCTTCTCCAGTCGCTTAGATATTTGCTTCAGTCGATCCCCTCCTTTCCATGACTGCAGATGAGATGGGCCCCGTTTCGCGCACCTTCCCGCTCTTCTCTCTTGCCTTGCGACCCCTCTTGAGAAAACACACAAGTCATCTGCCGCGGGAAGTTGTACAAACACCGTGGACAAAATGGGAGAGAAATCACCGGTGGTGATTGCCAAAAAAGATAATTGCTACATGCAATCGCCAGGAAAGGTATTGGCAGAGTCGCCCCACTTCCACGCCCATGTCACAAATCTGGAAATACCTTAGACGTCGCAGGCGCAATCCAAACGTCCCTTCCCGCGGAGTGGTCACTGCCAGGCGCGGACTGGCTACACCGAGGTGCGTGAGCGGCCTGTCACTTTATCGATAAGACCCTAGACCCCGCTAGCGGCTCTGCTCTGCAATCCGATTCGACCAGGGGCCATCTGTGCCTGCCAACGCCTGGCCTGCTGGGATCCAGTTTGTCAATTAAATCGCCAAATTTTCTGATGCTTCACTTCGGTCCCGTCCGTTCGATACCGCAGTTCAAACCGCTTCCAGAACCTCTTGGCCTTCAGGTACATTATCCATTAAACAACGACGCCATTTGATCCGATAGGATCTCCTTCCTCTGTTCTTGTTTCTTTGTTTGGTCCCAAATCTGGGCCCCGTCGTTTCAGGACCCGGCAGAACAACATTGATCTTCAAGTCTTTGGGTTACATCCGTCTTCAAGCCATCTATAGATGGAAGGCTGAGGCTGAGACTGATACCAACACTGAGACTCCCCGAACGAGATAGTAGACTATCTGGACCCGCTAACCGTTGCTTCCAATAATACCTGGTGCATTTCCAGATATCTCGGCAAGTATCTTTGCATCTCAAACTTACCTCCTGTATCGACGGAAGGCTTTGTGGGCCGCGACACTCTTCTAGAGAAGTGACCGAGAACCAGGTTTGTCTCCAAGGCTGCAGAAGAGTCAAAGAGCGGAAGGAGATAGACAAAGCAGCTCAGAGCTAGAAGTGAACAGGAATTGAGGCAAGAGCAGACGGCAGGCTGGCGAAGATTGGGTGCCTTCCTTTTCCGCGCATTCCAGGTCAACGTCCAACGATTTTATTCGTGCTGGCCCTGCCTACCTAGGTGCCTGAGTATTGTGGGCCCCGCCTCATACTGAGGTATTCATCAAGTTGCTTCTCGTGACTTCCTTCCGTTAGGTTCTGCTCCAAAGTACTGCCTGAGTGCACCTTGCTTTGGGCCAAAAGCAACTTCGCAGCCTCCTTCATCCAGACCTTACCTACTGCGGTAATTGCGCTGGCTTGTCGTTCCCTTACAGAATTATCCAGCCCTCACAACACTGAGGAAAGGGGGCAGAAAAGTTGAAGACGAGGAAACCACACCATATATCTCCCTCCAGAAAGAGCGAGGTGTGCCACCTACATCAACCGTCGGTCGCACAAGGACTTGACTGGACATCTTCTCTGGTCGTCATTCTGATTTCTTGACTGTTCGGCAAACCCTCCGCTACATCCGATCTTGGTCCTATTCAACCACAAACCAAACGAGTTGCATCGGATTCTGGCGGCGACCCCTCCATTACAAGCTTCTGACTTGACTCTTCCCCCAAGTCACTACAATCCTCCGCGAGAAGCCGTCGTGGAGCTACCTGAGTCTTTCTGACGTCTGTTAATATCCACGCTTCGCTCACGGCACGCCACAGCGGTGCGCAGCATCTATCTCCGTAGTCCTCTGTCGGTCGTCTCACGCCTCGGAAGACTAAAATCGAGATACAGTAACTTTCTTGTTGAAGTGAGTCACAACTCCGGCATGACGCACCCCATTCTCATCCCCTAGCTATGCTGACGAACACACCAGTTCCTGCTTTTCCTGCCCAAATCTTGGAAGCCAGTCTAGACACTGTACCAGGCCACCAGTCAAGATGCTCGCTGTCGAACGCGCTTCGCTCCCGGTCATGGCCTCTGATAGGCCTGACGATCAATCCGAGGAAAAAATCGAGCACACTGGCCCTGATGTCATCCAGCCCCATGCTCTCATCGACCATCTGCTTCCGCAACAGCTCGGACGAGGAGTGCTTATTCCTCTGAAGACGACTTTGGAAATCCGACAAGACCACACCATTGTCCAGGCTTTGATCACGAGGGCTCCATCTACGTCTACTAACAATGTCGTCAAGTGAGTAGCAGTCATCGAGTTTCTAGCCCGTGCTAACCTGGCTACAGTTTGATCCGCTCGATGCTTCCTGAAGGCGTGGCTAACAACTTGCCTCACTTGCGACGATGTGCGAAACCAGCGGATATTCCGGCTCACCTCAAAACACAGTTCATGAACGACTCGCCCGAAGGCCGCCAAGTCCACACGGGTAAATCCACCTGGATCTACATCATGCTTGGTGAAGAGAAAGACTTCGATAAGCACGACTTAATCGCAAAGCTGGGAGCCATCGAGGGAATGGACGAGAACGTCTTCCTCACCAAAATTCCAATTCCCATGGTGCCGCCTACTTCTCAGGTGCAGGCAGCCATGTGGACCTCGCAGTTCTGGCCTACGGTGTACAGAAAGAACAACCCTCTTGGACCGCACCCTAGCATGGTGGGACGGTCAACGGAAACCATCAAGGATGAGACGTCTCTGTGGATGACATTGGCCCATCGCGTCGCCTTCCAGGCCAAGAAGGCGAATATCGGCGAACCCATGGGTGCCGTCATCGTCCAGCGCGAAGGGGGAAAGTCCCATTTGGTAGCGGTCGCCGGAGATGCTCGTTGGCACCAGGAGCCCAACAGAAGCGGTACCGGCAACCCAATGGGCCATTGCGTGCTCAGAGCTATCAGCATGGTAGCGCAGAAGCTTGTGCGACACGAGAGACGTGTAGCCGGCCGTTCCAACGTGCCGCCTATCCTTGAATACGACACTTTTCAAGATCTTCCCCTCTTGGAAGACGAGCTCACGGTCCATGAAGACGAGCATCCCAACGCGGACGGCTACCTGTGTCACGGCATGGAAATGTACTTGACCCACGAGCCTTGCGTCCAATGCTCGATGGCTATCCTTCACTCACGGATGGGCAAAGTCGTCTTCGCTCAGCGCATGCCACTTACTGGGGGCATGTGCTCAGAAGACCGGGGCCACGGCCATCCCGAGCTGGAGAACTGCGGTGGAGGCGAGGGTCTCGGCCTCTTCTGGAGACGTGAGCTGAACTGGAGCTTGCTGGCGTGGGAGTGGGAATCGAGCGACTGCGTGGGACCTTTGCCGCCGGTTGATCACAGAGTCCATGCTTAGTCCCCATGGGACTTTACGACGATACCTTGGTGCTTATGGTCGGGAAACCGGCCTAGGCCAGAACAGTCTTTGTGTACCGGGATGCCAACGATTATGAAAGTTGACGGTAGTCTCGATGCATCAGTATCGATAAACCCTGTATCCCAAGCTCCGAGCCTGCTCGTTGACGGCTTTTGCGCTTTATATTTTACTTGTTGTAGGTGGTTGAGAGATTGGTTGGAAGGGCTAGCAGAGGGTTTAGATAGTCCTTTCAGCTTCCGTGGAATGTCTGGCGGGATGAAGGAGAGTCAAGAGACGTGCGACGGTAGGCTGGTCAGGAATTATACCCATGCTGTCTCATTTGTAGAAGACGGCCACTTTAGCAATGCACGAGCAAGATTACAACAAATCTTCATTACCCATACTTTATGTGATGAGCAATAGTTGAGGTATGATGAATCAATCCCTTGAGTAACGTCTCTCTCCCTACCTACGATACCAAAGCCACCTGAAAGCAACTGCTGGGGAAGAGCCTCAGCCGACGTGAGATCAACTTTGCCTTCAAGTGATATTAGCCACGGAAGGAATAAATACCTCCACATACCTTAGACATTGGGTTCATTAATTAAGGTACCCGATGAACAAGGTACCTTAGGTACTTAGGTACAGAGGTAGACTGCGCTAAGGTCGGCAAGCTTTGCAGCGGTCGTGCTCCCTGCGGGGAAGACATGCGCCTTATCTTATCGGCGCGCCTAATGCTGGTGAGGAAGGCGGCACTGGCTGGGTCAGTAAGAATGATCCATCCGCACTCCATTGAAGTGGTCCCCTCGTTACCGGCCCTTGCCGCAATCTTCACTTTTCCCCCCGTTACATGTTTCGGCATGCGCCCACGAACAAAGGCAACCGCTGAGGAAACGGCCCTAGAACTGCAGCTTTCGAGACCCTTCTAGCCACCGGCGTGAGTCGTCTTTGACTCTCTTGACCCACGCGACACCGACCAGGTAGCTTTGCAACAGCCCTGACGCATGCGCTCGCGACTTCAAGCTTTTTGGACAAAGGCTGTTGACGAGCTTCATCCCCGAGCTTCTTCAAGCCGTCGCCTCTTCCCATCGGTACTTTTAAGGCGACGAAGCGCCACATTTTGGCGAGGCAGACCAGACGACATCCGCGACAAGTACCGCAACACCCTACAGCTTCTCGCAAGCTTTCTGAACGAACGCGTCGACATGCCAGCGGATAAATCGAGGAAGCGCAAGGCGGACAAGGATCTGCAGAGATACTATGCTGTGCGCGTCGGTAAACGGCCAGGCATATATCTGACATGGCTCGAGTGCCAGAAGCAGACTGATAAAGAGCCAGGAGCACAGTGTATGTCAAGGCACCTGATCATGCCCCTGTGATCTCTTGGAGGTCTTCTTGGCCGATGCGACTGACAGATACTGCTTTCTAGACAAGTCTTTCTTCACTCGCGAAGAGGCCCAGGCGTTCGTGGAAGGCAAGTTCGTGCCCACGCCAACTGGGCCCCCGAGATACTATGCCGTCGCGCGTGGTAACTTCACGGGCATTTTCATCGACGACTGGGATACGGTTCGCTTGGCAATTAAGGACGCCAAGGGGCCGAAGTATAAGAAGTTCGATACATACGCCGGCGCGTTGGAGTTCATTAGGGAATGGGCCAACGAGGAAACGATTGCCGGCGCCGAGGCCGGCGCCCAGAACCAGAATGTCAAGATTCCGCCGAGGAAGTCAGCCACCAGCTCTTCAACGAAGGCCACAAAGGTGAAGAAGGAACTGGGAGAGAAGACAGAGGGTGTCGTCGTGAAAGAAGAGATATTGGGCTTGCCACAAATTTTTACCGACGGAGCTTCGGCGGGCAATGGTACTCCCTCCGCCAAGGCCGGCGTGGGTGTCTACTTCGGACCTAACGATCTAAGGTAAGCTGACCCTCGACTACATCTTCTCCTCTGCCAGGTTCCATATTTCAATCGAAGCAGTGGTGATGGTGTTCCCTTGCATCGTTCCCTCAACAGGCCAGACGCAACGGACTAACTTAGCCGGATTTAGGAACATATCTGAACCCCTCGAGGGCGAACTGCAAACGAACAACAGAGCAGAGCTCACCGCTATCCTTCGAGCACTCGAGTTCACTTCGATTACCGAAGATGTTCAAATCTGGAGTGATAGCGAATACGCAATAAATTGCGTCACGAGGGATTACAAGAAGTGGGCGAAAAACGGATGGAAGAAGGCGGACAAGGAGGATGTCAAAAACACGGACTTGGTCAAATCGATACGCGAACATCTCGACAGGCGAGAGGCTGCAGGAACATTCACGAGAATCAGCTGGGTCAAGGGTCACAGTGACAGTCTGGGCAACAACGCTGCGGACGAGCTCGCCACCAGCGGTGCAAGGAAGACTTTGCCAACGAAGTCAAGAAGAAAGCTCAAATGAGGCGACAGCGACGGGCTAGGGATTGCAGCCTTACAAGAAAGGTCACGGTGTGACAAAGCACGCATTGTATTGGGCGTGTTTCGATACGCCTGCCTGGTGGCGGTGGCATAGGGGATAGTGTGGCAGGAAGTGAGAGGCAGGAACAGAAGCCAGCCAACCTAATGCGCCAACCGACGATACCCGGATGAAAATTCGACTCTTCGCCCTATCAGCCAGCAACAGTGACAAGGGCAATGGAAGCAATTGTGAATATTATACTTGGGGAGGCACGCTGGCTTGACGTAACGGATTACGCCTAAGGGGTGGTCCTAGCGTTTACAAGTTCATGGCTATGATCGATTGTATGGTGATGGTACTGTCTGCGTCTTTACCCTCCTCTCCTCAAAACATACTCTCGCCTTTGATCTTGTGTTTATCTTCACTGGCGGATCGTACATCTGATCTGGTATTGTTGTGGTCCTCGAAGGGATGTTTACGGTACAGACCTAGAGGTGTACTTTGTATCCAGGAAGACCATCGACGAATATCTTTGTTCGTTGTGGAACTCTCAAGGACGGGGTCAAGTGTTTTAACAGGCGCGTTGCTCAGCTGTTCTGTTTTCATTTCTGTTTGTTGTTTAAGTAGTTTTTCACGTCCCAGATACCACAAACATCCATCCTCAGCTGATATTTCAATTTCCCTTAGCGAAGTTCCCTCCCTCACTTCGACACTGGAACATGTTATCCACGTTGAGTTACCTACAAATAGTAGCTCTGTCTCATTACGTGGGATTTTCTTCCTTCTCCAAGGGCAGAATATCTTTATCTTTGGGGCCCTTTTCTTCCCCGTTGCTTCCGCGGCCTACTGGTGCGAAATGTGATGGTCTTGGAAAACCTGCACTTGTCTCATAAGCACGGTGGCGGTTTATGAGACCATACTAAACCTATAGCTCTACGTGTGTGGTTTTTCTGCCTCGAGCTAATGTGATTAGGGTATTCTTCTCGTTACTCGCTCTCCCTTTCCACGCCCCCCACGTTGTCGTTTCTGTGGGCGTTTGTGGATTGCTGACGAGGCTCTTGAGGCTAGAGAATGTGATTCTAGTCAAGAGAAAGATACAAAGAGGAGCGGGGGACAAGGGAAGGGAAGGGAAGGAAGAGAAGGGACCTTGATTCTTGGCGCCGGTTTGAAGTTCCGAGAAACTAGTTTACTTGCCACCTTGCTGCGCTTGTTTAAGAAAGTCTGGTAGGGTGAGGCAGGTATCGCTTGCCGCCGTAACCCATGTCGACTACATGTAGAAAGAGATTCAGAGAGACGTTTTGTAAATAGTTAAACTTGGGAAACTTTGTGAACCTACGATAGGCCTCATACGAGGTCCGGCTTTGATGATGAGAAGCACATAAGAACGCGCCGTTCAAGTGGGCATTCTCAAAAGCATCCCACTTCTGTGCGAAACGACCGAACTCTGCCTACCCCACGTCATCGCAAATCTGAGCGTCCCGTCATCTCACTCTAACACTTACTTCCAAGGAGCCATACCTCATCGGGTCAGCGACAAACACCCTAGGTACCCTAGCAGGGGACCAGGACCCCCCTTCCTCCCGCTTTGCCAAACCAGCGGTGATGATGAAAAACAAGGGCCACACAGCTCGGCGGCGTTCGCCCCGATATTCAGAAACCACCGACTTGCAGTGGGATCCTCGCCGAGCCGCCGTTTTCTTTTCTTTTTCCTCTCTTCCTTTTCCCCCTTGCATCGCGACCTTCTTGCCAAGGACTTGCACTTGGTGTACGGATACCCACCACTCGACCGCCCGCGTCTACGCACCGCATTCGGAACCCCTCCAGAACCGCAAGACGTGCAGACCGCCATCTCTTGGTCGCAGAAGAAAAAAGATCCAAAGAAGCAACCATCATCGCCACGAAAGTCGTTGATCCTGTTGGTCTCCCAATGACAGTCAGCCACGCAAGCGCCGCAACTCTCCTCCTCGTCCACGACGCTTCGAACCCCGCGATTCGATAATAGTCGTCTTCCAGCTGTGGTCTAGAATCGCCTGTAAACTCGGATCGTTACCGCACGAATACCTACCTATTGGTTCTGGCCTCCTTCGGATCCGACATCAGAAGAACCTATCCGTCCGTAGGGCGCGCGCGCGCATTCACAAGGCCTTACCATCGTTTTGTGTTGCCGAGAGATAAACCGCCCCCTCGTGGTTCAAAAACTTGGCGAACCGGGTCTCTGTCGCATTTCCACGCGCACTCATTGGATCATCTTACCCACGCGATCGCGGGGGCCTACAACGCAAAGTCGCACAAAGTGTGGAGGCTTTCCAAGCTCCCAAGCCCGACTTAGCACCTTGGCGAAAGCTTGAGTACTTCTCGACCTTTTGTGAAGCAAAACCCCTCTCAAAGAAAGGCCGCCAAGATGCCTACCCTCGCGCTCACAAACTTCAATATCCTCGTGGGCCTGCTGGGTGGCTGGATCTCGCTGTTCGGCCTGGTCTCGTACCTATGCAAGGAGAACTATTACCTCTCCGAAGCCCGTAAGTTCCACCCCGCTGTTCACACGTTCACAGCCCAATGGACCCCTCAATGACGAATGGCGTCAAGGGTTGCAGTAGATGCACCCAGATCGCCATGCAAGACGACGTGCCCTTCTCGATTCGTCTTGCATCAAGCAGCTAACCAAAACCCGACAGTGATATCCCTCCTCGCGGGCGTGGCCTTCTCCCCTCCCGCAGCAAACCTCATCAGACCGCTGGAATACGCAGGCACGGAAGAGGATGTAGAGAGCGTCACCCTCGCCTTCTCCCGCCTCGTCCTCGGCGTGCAGCTCGTCCTCGCCGGCGTCCAGTTGCCCAGCAGGTACCTCCGCACGCAGTGGAAGCCCATGGCCCTGCTCGTCGGGCCCGTCATGACCTGCATGTGGCTCGCGACATCTCTCCTCGTCTGGGCCATGGTACCGCACATACCGTTCTTGCACGCCCTCGCCGTTGGCGCTTGCGTGACGCCCACGGATCCGGTGCTGTCCAACGTCATTGTAAAGGGCCGCTTCGCCGACCACAACATCCCCACGGAGCTGCAGAACCTCATCATCAGCGAGTCCGGCGCCAACGATGGGCTGGGGTACCCGTTCTTGTTCTTCGCCCTGTACCTGATCAAGTACATTGGCGACGGCGGCAAGCAGGTCTCTGGAGGCGCGGGCTTGGCGATGGGTCTGTGGTTCGGCGAGACCTGGGGCTACACCATTATCCTCAGCGTCATCTACGGCGCCGTTGTGGGATGGCTCGCAAAGACGCTGCTCAGATGGGCCGAGAAGCGCAAGTACGTCGACAGGGAGAGCTTCCTGGTCTTTGCCATCTCCCTGGCGCTCTTCATCGTCGGGACGTGCGGCATGATTGGCAGCGACGACGTGCTCGCGTGCTTCGTCGCCGGCAACGCTTTTACGTGGGACGATTGGTTCCGCTTGGAAACCGAAGACGACTCCTTCCAGCCAACGATTGATATGCTCTTGAACGTCACCATCTTCATGTGGTACGGCGCCGTCATCCCGTGGAACGAGTTCCTCCACAACAACGTGATCCCCATCTACCGCCTCATCCCGCTCGGCATCTTGGTCCTGCTCCTGCGGCGCTTACCCTTCGTCTTCGCCATCCACCGCTTCATACCCCAGATCGAGCAGGTGAAGCAAGCCATCTTCGTGGGCTTTTTCGGTCCCATTGGAGTATCGGCCATCTTTTACCTCTACGTCACAGTCGAATTCCTGCACACGCTAAACGAGGGCGACGAACCTCGTTCGGATGTCGCTCACCTGCCCGAGATAGTCAGAGTCGTCGTCTGGTTCCTCGCAGTCTGTAGTATAGTAAGTGACGCACTCCCCAAACCGTCGAGAACTAAAATGAAGTTTCAAATAGGTGGTCCACGGGCTGAGCATCCCGCTCGGCAAGCTCGGCTACTACGCTCCGCGCT